GGGGCTTGGCTTCCTCTCCAGGTCAGTGGTTTGTAGATCATTATCAGTCTCATGTAAGTAGAATAGGAAAAGAACCAGAGGAAAAATAAAAATCAGGATGTTATTGAAGGGCAAATGGACTAACCACATTTTTCTATACAATGCTGAGAACCCTCTAGGATTCTCTTGCATCTAAACAATTCCTGAAGGGAAAATTTCTAGGACTGTCAATTAGTAACAGTCTTTGCTCTGTATTCCCATCTTTCATTTTAAATTCTCTTCCTAAGATGGCTACTGATAATACATCATGAATGTCAGTAGGAAATGCACCTGGGCAACCTTTCCTGGTTCTGACATTGCACAGTTCCAGGGATGTGAGTTCACCCCCATCCCAGAAACCCTATACCTGCATGCTCTTTTTTTAAAACTTCATGGCAAAACACATCAAACATAAAATTTACCATTTTTAAGTATACAGTTCAGTGCTGTTAAGCATATTCTTCTTGTTGTACAATCTTTTTTATTCAGCATCGATTCTTTTTTTTAAATTATGTTTTATATCTTCATTTATTTATTTTTATGTGGTGCTGAGGCTCAAACCCAGTGCCTCACACATGCTAGGCAAGCACTCAACCACTGAGCTACAGCCCCAGCTCTTCTTGTACAATTTTTACCACTATCAGTCCACAAAACTTCATCTTCCCAAAGACAATCTATGGACTCATCAATGTCTCATGCCCTTGTCCCTACACACTGGCAACCACTGTTATGTTCCTGTGATAACTCTAAGTAGCTCATGGAGTAGAGTCTTAAAGTGTTTGTCTTTTGGTGGCTTGCTTATTTCTCCTAGCATAATGTCCTCAAGGTTTATCTATACTGAAACATAACAGGATTTCCTTTCCTTTTAAGGCTGAATAATATTTCACTGCATGTAAACACCATATTTTGTTTATCCATTCATCCAAGGATGGATACATGAGTTGTTTCTACCTTTCGGTTATTGTGACTACCACGGGATCATGGTGTAAAGTATCTCTGTGTCCTTGCTTTTGAGTCTTTTGGAAGTATATTCAGAAGCGAAATATAACTTGCTGTTTTTATCCTTTCATACAAATACTATTATGGTTTGGATCTTTAATGTCCCCTGAAAAGCTTATATATTAGGCAATTCAAGAATATTCAGGAGCTGGGAATGTGGCTCAAGTGGTAGCGTGCTTGCTTGGCATGCGCCGGGCACTGGGTTCGATCCTCAACACCACATAAAAATACTGTGTCCATCTAAAACTAAAAAAATAAATAAATAAATATAAATATTTTTTAAAAAAGAATATTCAAGGATAAGATGTTTAGATTTGAGTACTGTAACCACATCAGTGGAATCTATTTGATGGATTAATAATCTGAATCAACTACTGGGTGGCGACCATAGGCAGGTGGAGCAAGGATGAAGAAAGTAGGTCACTGAGGGAGTGCCCTTAGACTATATTTTGTTCCTGGCTCTTCTCCCTCTCTCTGCTTCCTGTCTGCCCTGAGCTGAGCAGCCTTCTTCTGCCACACACTTCTGTCATGATGCTCTGCCTCACCTCAGGCCTGGAGCAATGGAATCACCTGACCTCTGCTAAAACAACCCCAAATAAACTTTTCCTCCTCTAGGTCAGTGATTTTTGGTCACAGCAACAAAAAGCTAACACAAACACTATTCCTTGTTTCTTTATACCAAAGTCTAATTTTATGAATATGAATGCCAACCACAGGAGTCTAAAAGCCAGATATACGGTCAGTGGATTGATACCAACAGTGAAGAATGCACAAATGTTAGTAAATGTTAGCACACCAGGATTTGATTCTGAAAAAAGATTATCCATGGCACCCTGTCTCTGGCCACAGCAGATGACACTTCATTCATAACTGTCTGACAATTGAGAACTATTCTTTTGATTACTTAAAATCCACATTTACTTCATGTCTCTCAGGTTTTTTGTTTTAACACCTTTCCTCCATCCTTAGGCAAATATATCTGACAATCTTTCCCCCACACAATTCATTTTCAGAGAACACCTAGATGTCCTTGGGATCTGACCAACTGGGCTCAGTATCAACATGTGCACCCTTGTAAAATGTTCAAAAGCGGGCTAGGGTTGTGGCTCAATAGTAGAACACTTGCCTCAAACGCTGAGACACTGGGTTTGATCCTCAGCACTACATAAAAATAAACAATTAAAGATATTGAGTCCATCTACAACTAAAAAATATTTTTAAAAAATGTTCAAAAAGCATCATCGCCACTCACACTTCCATTTTGGTAAATTATCATTTTGAATGTATTTGGCAGAAATTTATGCCAAGTTCTATTATTTTTGTAGTTATTTACCGATGTTCATTTCAGTGTATTATTGCAAATTACTCCTCAATAAGCACTTTGCTCAATATTTGATTCATTTCCTAATCTATATGTCATCCTTTTTCTGTATGAAATAAGATATTTGCCCCTGATCTGATTTGTTCCCTCAGACTCTAACAATATACTGACAATGCTGTGCTCCTATTTTGATTAAGAAAACATAGACACACAGAGGAATCTTAGCATTCTGTGACACTGCTAAGACATTTTACTCATCCAGATTATGAGGCAGTTATTAACATTACTAAGACAAGCAAGAAAACACAGTGTAAATAGCCTTGCTTGATGACAAAGTAAGAAAACAAATAATAATGCCCAAACTTAAGTGGGGCCCAAAACAATTACTACAATAGGAGTCACAGCTGAAATTCAAGCTCCTTAATCTTTGTAAAAACTTTCCCCCAACAGAAAATAACACCTGTTCATTCACCCTCTGCCAACTATGCTGTGAGTTCTTTGCCATTCCTAGAATACCTGCCTGGTATCACAGGAGAAGTAGTTACATGTGAGAGGGACAGTTTTTTCAAAGTTTCACTGGTCTGATTCTATAACTGCTTAACTATTCAGGTTCCTTGGCCCTGGGAGAAAGGATGAAACTAAATCAACTCTATGTGGGAGGTTTTTAGTTTTTGTTTTGGGTTTCCTAGGTAATTTTATCTCAAGCCTGCAAATAAAACTTTGCATTCTTGTTGCAAAACTCAAAAAGTTTTGCTAATTAGCTAATACCATGAAGAACACATATTCTTATGCTCAGAGAACTCGAGATAACCTTTTGATTCCTCAGAGAATGCTACAGGAAAAATTTGTCAATAGAGAGTATAACTTGTAATCATTGGATTTTGCTTTGCATTTGTTGACAACTCCCAGGCAAAAAGCATCATTCTAGAGTGCCCTTTTATTTGCCCTTCAGCTGTGTAGCCCTATTCATGAAATTAAATTTTCAAAGCATGGTATTTTTTGGCATGTTCTGAACCCATTTACCAATGGAACACATTTTGGCAGCAACATCGCACAAATGGTTGATTTAATTCCCATGGTATTCCTTTTTTTTTTTTTCAGGAATGAACTAAATAACAGTCATTTTTAAGTATGTGTATCTTTAGCAAGTTAGAAAGAGAAAACATTTGTGAAAATTCTCACCTTTGTTGTAAGTTTGAGTCTCTTAAATTTAGTAGAGGAAAAAAAAACTTCAGAGCCAGGCACAGTGGTACACGCCTGTAATCCAAGCAGCTCAGGAGGCTGAGACAGGAGAATTATGAGTTCAAAGCCAGCCTCAGCAAAAAGTGAGTCACTACAGAACTCAGTGACATCCTATGTCTAAATAAAATACAAAATAGGGCTGGGGATGTGGCTCAGGGTTGAGTGCCCCTGAGTTCAATCTCTGGTACCCGCCCCCCCACAAAAAAAACCACTTCAGGATTATAATTTAACAATTGTCATTAAATGGAAGGTTCTAAAGACAATTCACTATGAAAACACTTGTTATGATGAAGTGATGAAGTGAGTTATAAGAGTAAGATTATGTTCTGGGAATGGCATTGCAAAGAAGGTTGGGGGAGGTTTTTAATGTCAATTATTTCTATAGTTCCCTGTTTCGCTTATTTATTTTTATATATGGAAAGCATTTTTAAATCTAAATAAAAAAGAATGAAGTTTGAAAGATAAGGCAGCTCAGTTCATAAAGACAAGATTTGCATGGTAACAGCACCAGGTAAAGAAGCATCCGGGTAGGCTGAGGCTTAGCTCAGTGGCAGAGTGCTTGCCTAGAATGTGTGAGGCACTGGGTTTGATCCTTAGCACCATATACAAATAAAATAAAGGCATTCCGTCCATCTACAACTACCAAAAAAAAAAAAAAAATTAAACAAGAAGAAGAAGACTCCTCCTCCTCCTTCTCCTCCTCCTCCTCCTCTTCCTCCAGGTAAGAATATGGAGGTAGAGAAGGAGGAAGTGCCAAAATCAGGTCCCTGAAGAGGAAGTCCAATAACTAGAACCTCTGAACAGTTTGAGGAGGCTCTGTGTTGCTGGGTACCTAACACCATGGGGTTTGCTGGAGGGAGGCTTGTTATCCTTGCCCCTAAGCTGCCTCAAAGCTTTCAGTGGGTCACTCTGCACAGGCCACAGGCAGAAAGACTTTACACATGAACCCAGATGGCAAATCACAGCAGGAGCCGCCAAGTCCTCCACATTTCCTCCCAGGAACAGCACCCATATTACACAGAGTACAGACTTCATGACATTCCTGTTAGCCCCAAGTCCTTCTCTGGGAGCCCATACACAGTTCAGGGCTTCTCAGGGCAAGCACTTGGTCAAAAATCTGAATCTAAAACAATCTCGTAAGACTTGAGAGAGACTTGTGCCCACTAAATCAACCCAGAGTCTAACACTTTTATTCAAGATCACACAGGATACACTCCTTTTTGCATATTATGAATATATATGCAAAAATATAATCACTCAAAATATGACTATATGAAGGAAGTATATAATAACTTTTCTCTCGAATAATATCTTTTCACCTTTTAAAAACCACTAATTAACTAACCAAAGAATAAATCAAGAGATGGAAAAGTTTGTAAAGATCAGTACATGATTCTGCTGACAGAAACCCAAGTCTTACCTGAAAGTCATCATAAGGAAAGAGTAGCATCTCCCTCAAACAGTCGTTCAGGATCTGAGTTTTCTTCTGGACAATGACATTTTCATAATCAAGTGGCTCAATTAGCTTTGGCTTGGCCTGAAAGACAAAAAATAAATCAAATAAACATTTTATAGATAAACTCAATTTCTCAAGATTAAAAATCTTTATACATTATACACCATATGTTTTCCAACTTTTCTTCAATTTATGCATTAGTTTTGCTATTGGAAGAAACAAACAAGAAAGAAGTTGTTTTCAAAGGGAAAACAAGACCCCTTACATTGTAATTGTATTCTGTCTTTAAGAATGACATTTATTCAGTTACTTAAGCACAAAGGAGGTTTGCATTCTGCAAGACTTCCAATTATTTCTTGGGTCACCAATGGCTAGACTGGTCCCCTTCCAAGTCTTCAGGTCTGCCAGAGCTGCCCTGATTAGGGAAACCAGCCAAGGCCTGCCAATGAAGGCTCATCCCTCCTGGCAAAAAAACCTAAATATGGCCACAAGATTATTTCATGCAAAGCTCCATGGAACCCTGAGTCTCCAAATATCCCTACTGAAGGATCTCTATACTTACATATATAATGCCTGAACACAGAAAAATATGAGCTTGATCAAAACCAGGCAAGCATGTACCCAGGGCTTGTGGGTAAACCCTAAGGGACATGAATATTCATCTCCAGCATGCACTGAATAGAAAACAAATTGGGAAAGAAGAGATAATATGCCTTTTCTAGCCATTTCCAAAATTTATCTTCTCAGTAAAAACAATCTCTTTTCTACAGTATCACTGTCACCATATTTATGGTCACTTTCATTGTGCAAGGCACTGACCGAGCTAATTTAGGGGTGGAAATACATACTCAATTAACTATAGTACCATATGTCAAATGTTAAAATAGGCACATACACACACATACACACACACACACACGGTCAGAAGTAACAATCTATTTTATCAATAGTTATTACAAGATTATTCTAAATTTAATTAAAAAATCATCTGATATACATAATCTCAATAAATGCTATCTATACTAGAGTGACAATTCATATATAAGAAATACATTAAAGACATCTGGGCCAGGCACAGCGGCACAAGCCTGTAATCCCAGTGGCTCAGGAAGCTGAGACAGGAGAATCACAAATTCAAAGCCAGCCTCAGCAACTTAGCAAGGCCCTAAGCAATTCAGTGAGACCCTGTTTCTAAATAAAATATAAAAAAGTGCTGGAGATGTGGCTCAGTGGTTATGCACCCTTGGTATCAAACAAAAAACAAAAAAATAAACATGCATCTGGTATGTGGCATTTACTTTGAGAACTGTGACTGAGACTGCTATGTGTTCTCCAAACCTGTATCCTTTCCTTTCCAATATACCTAATCTCCCTGTGGTTAGCTATGGTCAAATGATGGTTTTCTGGCCAGTGGCATGCAAGTAGAAGGAACATGGCCACCTTGGCCCATAAGATTCCCACATGACCCCCTCCCATCCCCACATTCCACAGCCAGCCACAAGCACAGGATCCAACAGTGGCCTTGAAGCCCAAGCAGGGGTGGGGGTGTGTGCAGCCTTAAAATGGAAGGCCTCTGGATCCTGAATTGCCCTGTAGAAGGCTGCCAGCTTAAACAGGCACTGAAATATCCGTAAGCAAAAATGAAACTATCTGCTCTGTTCAGTCCTTGAGATTCTGGATTAGTCTGAGGCAGCAGTCAGCTTGCTCTGCCTAAGATACAGATAAATACTCTTATTTAACTTCAATTACTAGACTTAAGCAGACTCTACCAAGAGTTTTGACATTCTAAGAAAAAAATGCCATGCCCAAACAACTGCACAATTATAATTAGGCAAAATATGTGTGATGGACAGAAACTAAGCAACATAAAGCTATATACAGTGAAAGTCTAGGTAATTTGTAATAATGTAAGTGTAGGTTAATTCCTACAAAATATAACATCACGTTGTCTTTACTTTCAAAAAAACTTATACAAAGAAATTATTTTTAAAATAAGAATTGTAACAGGAAAAAAGTATTCTTCAAAATATATGAATTCATTTTAAGAATAAAATTCATCCCTTTATTTTTGTTTGCTGTACTGCATTTAGTAATCAGTCAGTAAAGGCTAGCTGGCAAAAATAATGGATGCCATAATTAACAACATTTCCTTAGGAACTATTTCCATATTCCTAATAAAACCCAAATAAGTACACGGCACAAAAGCAGCAGGGATAATAAATAAACCAACAGAGGTGGAAGTGTTATTTACAAAAAATAGGCAACAGCCAGATTTGGCCCAATGGCATAGTTTGCTGACTCACGCTTTGGAGTTATCTTTACTTACCAGTAGTTAATAACCTTTCACCAATTTAATAACTCTTTATATTGTTTCCATGTTGACCTACTAATATGTTTTCCTTCCTATAGACAAATAAAGATAACATGCTTACAACTCTTAAGGGTATTTAATGATTGTTTCTCACCTACTTAACTAAACTTGGGTTGCTTACAAGGTTTAATGATTTTAAAATATTCATAATTATACAAATCATTGTTTTCCCCTAAATGTACCTTAGGGATATTCAATGACTGGATGCAAAGTTATTAGTAATACCTTGCTTTTGTGTGCCAGACTGTCTCTTTCAAGGGCTTTTCAGTCAGATCACAATCAACTCAACAAGTGAGGCTCATCACAAAATCAGCTAATTTTCCAAAGCATCCCACCAAGTTTCCAGGGGGGCTGAATTAGGACATAGCCCTTCGTCAAACAGAACCCTCTTTTCCCACATTGGACTGCCTTTTAACCCTCTGTGCTCACTAGTGAATGATCAGAGTAAACGTGGAAGAGAGTTCATAAGCCACTATTTCTGTGAAAGACAGAGGATGCTCATCAAGCAGAAACAAACAGGGGCTGATATCAACAATCAGGGAAATATCATGGAGCAATAATCTCTATCAAGGAATGTAAAAAATTCAAACTTAAAAAAAAAACACCTAAGGTCACTTTATGAATTAACCCCTAGTGACCTGATTGGGTAGAGATCTTCGGTAACTGCAGGGAGAAAGGTCCACAGCAGAATGACTGATTTCAGAGAAAAGGGCCTATTGACAGTGACCCACCTGTCTCCTACGTTAAGAAAGCAAAAAACTCCTGCTACAACTACAAAACTTGTCACAGCACCCGCCTTCTACAGAAGGCCTTGAGTGGGGCGGGGGAGGAGGGAACTTTCAGAGGAGAAAGGCTGGGAATAAAGAGTGGTGAGGGAAGGAAAGGAAAAGGGACCAGACACAGCCACAGGGGTGGGGGTGGGGTGAGGAGACAGACAAATAGGCCCCTTAGGGTGCATAGGCAGAGATGAGGGAAGAGGAGGAGGAAGATAAAGAGTGAAAAAGAAGAAACACAAAGAAATGGCAGAAGACAGACTTGGACTTAGAGATGGATCCTTGGGAAGTCATGCTGCTCTTTTCAACCATGGGATAAGAGGATAGTGGCCTATTTTCTATTCTTCTTTAAATGGATGATTCACTGCCACAGCTGTTCACTGTTCTTCAGTGCCACTAAGCTTTTCCCCCACGCTCACAGGAGCGGGAGGGGACAGCCCAGTGGGATAGAGAACTGATTGCTCTGCATTAAGATTGAGGGGAAGAACATCTCACTAGCAGCAAAATGAAGACTGGCTAATTATCAGACTAGTAATCCCCAACTCCTGGTCTAGAAGAAAGGCTTAACACAGATCTGGCACATGGTCCTGGCTTTAAAGCCAACATGCTCAGGTTCAGTTATTCCATTGATAACAAAGCTCCAAGGGCAAAGTTCTTAACTTTTTATCTTCAAAAGAAACCCAGAATTACCCAAATCAATGACACTCGTGCATGAACCTACGCAGAGGTCCTCATACCACCATGTTTTGAAGCCCTGAGAATTCATTAGTTTGATTTTTAATACTCCAGGGTGCTGTGTTTCCCTAGGCACTGCGGCGGGTGGCCAACACCAAGAACTTATACTGGGTTAACTGCTACTTTTATAGTGTATGAAGAATATAACTCAAGCTATATACAAGTCCTTCACCTTAAAAGACAGGAAGTTCTTGACTATAAACATTCATTTATCTTGCCACTTACGAAATCAAAAAGGGAGAGATACATGGGACTTTGGGTCCACAAAATGTCTATAACAGAGGTTCTAGAAGTGGGTTCCAGCTGATTCAGCATCTCCTACAAACTAGTTACAAATATAAATTCTGAGGTCTCACACCAGAGCTGAATCAGAAAATCCAGGAGGGAGGGGTACCAGATCTCCAGGGATGTTTGAACAAACTCTCCAGGGATGCTAGAGAACTCACATCTATGATGAACCAGGAACGGTGTAAGAATTTTTAAATTCACCGAGGAACAACAAACAAGCCCAATGCTAAGCTTCATAATCTCCTCAAGGTTACAGGCCCCTTGAAGAGCCTAGGCTTGATCTCTCCTTCCCCACAAAATGTGGATACAACTTGCTCTCCAAACTTATATTCAGTTTTGTGGGGTGGCTATAATGTTCTGGAGAATGACTATATGAAACTGAGTTTAAGAAGCCCGAGACTAGTAGGAGAGGCAGGCTTGTAAACATCCAACCCAAGGCCAGGAAAGGTGCTGAGGAATAAAATGCAGAGTTAAGGGAGGAGGGTGAGCCAACTGCCATTTGTGAGTCCTGAAGTTTCCTCACTTTACTAAGGAAGTGGTGCTTCACAAGTGTGAATGAAGAATGAGAATCATGGGGGGACAAAGGTCTGAACTCCTTAACTTGACAATGGAGCCCACCTTAGTCAGGTATGAGCCTCTAAGCCCTGGGCCCAGGAAACAGGCAATGCTGCATCCATTGTTTCTGACCTGAGCCTCCTCCTGGCATCCCTCTTCTGGAATCACCTCCCTTCCACCTCCAAACTATTACAATCCTCAGGCCCCTACAGCCAGTGGTCTACAAACATCATTGTAGCAGCAGAGTTCTTCCTCTAAAAATAAATCTTACACAGAGAGTAAATATGGTGAAAAAGTTAAAGCAGACTTGCCCCAGACCCTTTTCAACCACCTCCCTCAACCCAAGGAGAGACAGCTTA